AAGAGCGGTAGAGCACAAGTAAATGCATCATATGCGATTGCCCTAGAAAACAAGGGAAAGCGTAGCATGTGTGGAGCTGACGATAACTTTCAAAGATGAAAAACTGATCATGTGGGAAGAAAGAGAGGTCATAACAGAGAAGCGGAGGAAAAGAGAAATCAAAGAAGGAACGAGAGTGCATCGAGAGGAAGAGCAGGAGGTAGGGTAACATGATTGAAAAGACTAGAAAATATAGAGGCTGTAGAAAGGTTAGACTCAGTGAAATCTCTCCATCAGAGAGGTTAATTCTGAACAGAAAGGTCATAAAGAGAAAATTAAAGGTACATGTTTAATTGGCAACATGATGGCTGCAGTTGTGAGTTCAGGGAAGCAAAGAAATAATTAATAGATCTTGGCTTGGACAGCTTCAGGAGGGAGACAAATTATTCTGGAGGAAGTCTTCATTAGTGACTGTGATTCTGGAGTGGAATTGTAAGTAGAACAGTGAGTTTAACCCCCTGCATCCATGTTTTTCCATTATGTAGTATATAAAATGCCAGGAAAAGAATGTACTTTTGACTGGCAGGCAGTTCTCTGAAAGTCTGGCTTTGTCTCCTGCTTTGTTGCTAAAGACATTTATTCTATCAGCTTTGTTGTTGAAACAAACAGAGTAGGGTCTGGTTTGCTGGTCCACAGCCATATTGACTATTTAATGCTGACAGTTCAGTAGAACGCAGGAAACATATACTTAGTAGCACAGCCCTACTTTTTGCTAGTTCTTCTTATAGTAATCTTTGTGGGCTGCATAAATGCATGTTAACATATATTTAGTCCAGAAAGTGTTACAGATCAGAAAGGAAAAATATATCAGCAGCGTTCACTTCACTGGATATCTTGTTAACTGTGTATCTGCTAACTATAGAAATGAAATAATAATTGTTCATAACACTTTTCACCCTAGGCTATCCTCATGCCACTGTGAGCTTGATGTTCTGACTATGCGTTAGCAAGTCAATTTCTATTCTAGCAGATATTTTTTTTCCTATTTGTATCTTCACTATATGTTTGTGCATGTTAAGAGGTCCTTGTGCCTTTCCTTTGACTGTAAGCATCTATCTTATAAATGTACCTTTTTTAATCTTCAGTAAGGTTTAAGTGTGCTTTTTTTTTTAAACAAATACATCTTTCAAAGATTCGACGAATCAATGTTAAAATAGTTCGAACTTACAGACCACGTAGGGTCAGAGGGCCTTTTCCTTGCCCACACAAAACATTTGTTTAAATTGTTTTTACAAGTGTTTAAAAACTCTGTTGCCATTGAGACAAAGTGTATCTTCAGCATAGTGTCAACCTGCTTTGTCTGCACTGAAGTCATGAAATGTTATTTAGAACTACCCAATAAACAGTTCCAAGAGTGCCCTTGAAAGTCATAATATA